TAAAATAATTATAGTAGATTAAAAAATTAATCTAAAAAACCACGTTTTCAAAAAGCAAAAAATAACCTTAAACGTGGTGCGCATGGAGATTGTTGGGAAGAAGTGAAATACAAATGAAATAGATGCGCACCACATTTAAGGTTATTTTTTGCTTTTTGAAAACGTGGTTTTTTAGATTAATTTTTTAATCTACTAAATTTTTTTGTGCTTTTTAGTCTTACTTAAAAAACGTGGTTTTTTAGATTAATTTTTTAATCTACTATTCCTTCATTCCAATGAACCAACTTGTTTTAACATTTTAAAAATTTGATGCTTAATGAATAGTTAGTTCACAAGAATGAAACAAACTCTGGATTAGATTTGTACTGCTTGGATGAGACTCAATGGAAGATGGAAAGAGATTCAAGTATGTACCAAACCAGTGAGCACTGATGATGCAAAACAAAGGACATAATTTTGAACATTTGACCCCTTTTTTCACTGTGCTAAAAACTTGTGACACCTCACAAGCCTTTATTGCGCATGGAAAACTATGTTTCAAAGGAACAGAAAAAGCTCGCTTTCTTTCTTTGTGCCTGGTGATTGTGTCAATGTTCTATTAATAATGTTAATATTAATAATGTTAAAAACTTCTTGAGTTCCCCTGGCAAAAACTCTGTTGAAGTCTTTTTGAAAAAATATGCACTATGTAGGCGCCCCAATACACCTACCTGTTCCCATTTCACCATGGTCAGCACCTGGTTCATTAACATTTCTGATGTGTCCAAACTTGCTACAACTTTTTCTTTTGTCTATCCTGTCCCCAGAGTTGATAAAATGGCTCTTCACAATCCCCAAATAATAAGTCAGTGGTAAGAAACGCTCAATTGGAGATGGATTAGTCTGCATTTAGGTGTGTTGTATAAACACTGGTTGTATGAATATACATGCGACTATTTCTCTGAAGGGAATATACATGTTTTAATGTTTTGAGTCTCAAATAGCTTGTCAATTTGGTTACAAGGAAGCTCAGGACATATAAGGGAGCTTATTCTTAACTTGACAGTTACTTGGAAATTAAAGTAAAACAAATTTTGCGGGCATCAAGACACATTAATTAGTTGATGTTTCTTAGTGGCCAGATGACAAAAGGTTTTTGCTTAAAATAACCAAAGTTCAGAGCAATACTAATCAAGGTTTTTTGTCTACAAATTATAAGCTCATATTACATTTGAAAACATTGTATTATATCAGTGTTTTGTTGTCATTTTCAACTGATATATAAGGTCAAAATGCTGGCAAATTCCAAACAAAGTACTACTGAGATCATGCCCTGTCAGGTTTGAAATATGGTTAAAAGAAAATTTTGGTATTTTACTTGTGTTTCTGGTTTCTGAATTGTATTTTTATCTTATTCATACATTTAAAACATATATAGTAAAATCTCATGACAAAAAATAATGTTACAACACATTTTTCAGTAAAACAAACTTTCTCAAAGTCCCTGCAGAAATCCTATAGACTGCATGTAATGAGAATCTTGTCAGAACAAACTCACCAATTCCAGTTTACCAAACTTTTTCAAGGAACATGTTGTGATTTCTCAATGAAAAATTCCCAATGAAGGTAGACACAGTCTCAAATTTCCCATTCAAAGTGTGACTGTGACTGGTTCTTGGGACATAAAGTGGAATCAGGGATAAAATTTATTCAAGTTCCACCTAAACAATTTCTCTTTCAAAATTGTTCCCTAGGCTAGGAAAGACTCCAAGACTCCAAGGGGGGTAGATGAAAAAATGAACCCAAAACACTCATGTTAAAATGGGTTTGTTTGCTTGAGAAACCCTGTGCTGATGCTTATAAATTGTAAGCTTTTTTGAACATCCAACCTTCTAAATCTCTACAGGAATTGCCTAGAAAAACCTTTTCAACAAAAAGTGCTGGTGTTGACCAGTTATTCAGAGCAAATGCTTGTTATTAATATTTGAACTTCTTTTTTAAGATCACAGTTTTTAAATGCTGAAAACATCCAAAAACGTCACAAAAGGAAGATGTTGAAGGTAAGCAGGTTTAATTTTTAGAAAATCTTCAAATCAGTCAAAATTTTCAAAAATCTTGTTTCAACAAATTATTCATCATAAAAACTTCTTCTGAAGCCCCATCAAGTTTGTTGTAATGAGATTTTCCTGCATTTTCAAAATGTTCACTGTTCCAGCTTCTATAGGTGACAAATGCGCATTCCTTAAACTAAAGGAACTATACAAGTTCAAGAAAACGTTTTAAACGGGCATAGTCTTTTTATACAGTATGAAGATTTATTATGCCCCAAATATTTCCATTCAATGTTGAACCAATTTACCGTATTTACTCAAGTACCACGCGCACCTTTTTTCTCAAATCTCAGAAGAAAAAAATGGGTGCACATCATAAGCGGGTACACATTTTTCAAGAATTTTTCGGAAGTTATGTGTACATTATACTTGATTATAATGGAGAAATTTGTCCAAAAAAGTGTAACAAGAACACTTTGTACTGAAAAGGTTGAAAACTGATCAGATTTTTGTTCAATGCATGTCTAAAGTTGATTTTTTGTTTTTATTTTTGAAATTTTGTGGTTTTAATCTTTTAAATTCCCTAAAAATTGGGGTGTGCGTCTTACTCGGGGATAAAATTTTAGCCAAATTTGCACCTGAAAAACCCCTGTGTGTGCCTTATTCCAGGGCGCTGGTACTGGAGTAAATACCCTATTCCGTATTTTTGACTTCTTTTTTTTTGTTGAGAATGCTGAGTGTTTCTGTATATGTTCAGATGCGATCACGGGAAACCCCACTTACGTTCTTATATTCTTCTTTCATTAAAACCACGGGATTTCATGCGAAGAATAGTACAGCTATACAATCAACTTTCTTGAGTTTACCAATCAAAAATGTTAGAGAATTGTATTATGCTGATATCTTAAAAGGTGAATTAAATCCTTTCCGCCCATGTATCATTGATAATATCCTGCTTGTTCATCAGTTTCCAGTATATTGTGTATTTCTTCTCCGTTCATCAATTTATTTTAGAATAAATCGATCAGGAGGAGTGTTTTGCGTGGATCTTGAAAGGATTCAACATGGATGTCCCGTCAGGGAAACGATTATTATTTTTTGTTTTAAAATTACCGTAAGCATAATATACACTCTTGGGTCATTACTTGTTCACAGACCCGCGGAAATTACTCTCATCTTACAAAAGAACCTCTTTTCAGCGGCTAACATATTATTCATTTTGTCAAGCATGGCTTTTGTGTCGATTTATTCTGTGCACAAAGCAGCAAAATGGCGGTCACGTGAAGGAGCCATTTGGGCTTTAATGATGGCGTCTCCCTGTGACAGCGGACACGCCCTTTTCCAGGAAAAGGCATTCTTTCGTCAGTGCTTTTTTTCGTTGAAATTTTCTACCTTTCTAGGTCAAGAAAATTAAATAAAAACGCATTAATTATTCAGCCATTACTTGAGGTTGACGAAAACAAAAAACAGTGTTCATCTTCAGGTTCTTCTTGTTTTGAAAAATAAGCATAGGAAGAGGTACTAAGTACAATGAAATAATGACAATAAAATCATGAGAAATGCTGATCAGGTGGTTATTTTATCAGTTTGTACTAATGCAGTTCTTAATTTTCAGCAGGAAATAAAATTGGTGCGTAAACGAAAAAAAAAATTCTGATTTTTTTCTACATAGCAGTTCATCCAATACATCTTTTGCTAAATAATTCTGTAATATATTTACTTCAAATACAGCATATCAAACGCTGTATTTCCGGTAAAACAAACGCCTGTTGAAAGGTCATGAACACGATGAGCGCCTGTGACACAGTTAAGCGCAAAATTTCAAACAAATTTTCAATGATTGCAAAAATATCATCGAAATTTTGATAATTAAATACGCTTTTCTAACAGTTTGAAATTTACTTGGATTTACGCTCACAGCTATTAAATCCCAGTCCAAAATTCTTACACTTTTCAAACAGAATAGTGGATTCCATAACAACTCACACAGCAGTTACTCTATAATGTAATTACTCAAACATTTGTTTAGTTTATTTTTATAAGCTTCTTCATTTTTCTTCTATCAAGTGACCAACAAAGAATCTGATTTCACAGTGAACTGCCTTCGCCATGTTCAACATTCTCGAATTGTTACAAGTCTTCAATGATTCCTTGAAAAATCGCACTATAAATATAATGATACTGTATAAGAATTTTCTGAAAGGAATGCATAGGAAAATTTTTCAGAAAACAATGTGTGCATAGTTTCAGTGCTATTTCTTCAATCACTCATTCAGAACTTGTCAGTGAAAATAACATTACAAAGATTTAAAAAAAGAAACAATAAAAAGGCTTTCGAGTTCCTACTGGACAGGTTGTCATGTATTTGACTTGGAAAAAGGTTTGTTACGACAAAATATTCTCTATATAGTGAGCCTCAAATAACATTTTAAATATACTGATGCTGGGGTATAGTAGAATGACTTTGTTTTGAAGAACGATTTTTTTAACAAGATTCCACTGCATTGCATATACTTTTTTCCGCCAGAAGCGATTTCTGGATTGTAATGCAGTTATGAGTCGAGTATGAGTAATTTTATTTTCCGAATCATTGAAGTTGTAGACATTTTTTCAACTCCACAGCAAGTTTAGAAAAATGAACACTAATGACACTATATTGTTACGATTTTGTCAAAATTTTCGTGGATAACCCGAGTGTCTGGTTCAAGCAAACGAATTATGGGAATAAGCGCACTCGGAAGCACCAAAACGCCTTCAGAGAAATGAAAATCGTAACGTCATTCATTTTCCACAGAAATATGGCTATCAAATTCCGAGAGATGGAGCCAGAGAAACTTCAATTTCAAAAAAGAATGAAAATAAGAAACATATGCATGACAGAATACGCAAACTGCACGTCACGTGTCAGGATATCATAATTATTGACGTGGCTTCCTCTTATCGTCTATCGGATTAAAATATTCGCAATAATCCCGGACAGGATTAACGGGTGCATTACAGCCTGTCTTATATCTTTTGATGGTACACAGTTTGATAAGCTGATGATGGTTGTGGAATGGACTGGGTATAAAACGTGGATCATGGGGTTCAGGTTCTTCACTTCAGGTTGCAGCACTAATCAGGGTTTCCCTTAGCTACAGTGGTTCAGCCAGTCAGTCAAAGGAACATGTTCCGTTTCGCAGTCATCGCCGCCTTGGCGGTTTCCGCCATTGGTGAGTACCAAATGCTGCATGCAAATATTTGAAGAAAAAAAATCATCGATTTTGAATTTCCATGCCCAGGATTTTCTAAATTGCGAACTTTGACACGTTCTTCTCCACTACGTACAATAAATGTCTGGCGCATAAATCCAGCTTAAATTCGTGTTCAGTTTCATATACATTTACACCCATCATAACCACCATCCCGCCACTCAGAAGTGCATTTTGGTAGGAAAAATTGCAATGTCAGTCAAGATTTCAAAATTTATAGCGTAATTTACAAAAGGGGGAATCCAAGAACAGGCATACCCAGTTAAAAGTTCAGTGACATATCTTTTTGCAAGGATTAATGAAACAGATTTCTGAAGAATTGGTTGAAACTGCTGATCCAACAAGGCAACATCATGCAGATTAAACGAATATGTAACCTAGCTTAACAATGATAAGGTCTTCAAGTCCTGCACAACAATGTAAATGTATATTCAGGTGCTACAGGCTGACATCATACTTTCTCTCTCTCTCATCTGCGATGATTTTGTCTACAAAAATTAGCTCCACATAAAAAATTTATTTTGGGTCCAATAGGTTTTCTCTCTACCCATGTTTTATACAGGTTCTCTAAAACAATAGTTTTCCAACAACAAAATGTTTCTGGTCCCCTGAATCTAATTGAAGAAAGTTCACCTGTACAGTATTGGTATATTATCATGAAGTCCTTGAATACATTCTTTACATAATGCACAAATAGTTACATTTTAAAGCTTTCATTGCCTACTTGGAAATAAGGATTAAAAACATCTGTCCACAACCTCCCATCCATAAAGTGAACTTCATAACATGTGTTTATTTCAAGGACTAAACATGAATTCTTGATACAGTAGTTATTTACAGTAGACAAAGAAACTTCAACTAATTTTATTCATCTCCAAAAAAAAATAATGCTGGAAATTTTCATGAGGGAAAATAAAATGCAAAACCTATTATTGAAACGAAGGAGAACTTCATTGTCCAAGCAATATGCGCGTTGAACGCAATTTTGTGCAAAAACTGATCATTTTTGTTTTTCTAAATGGGAAAGCTTTTCTATCTTCATCCGCGTAGAGTATTTCCATCAATTTTTCTTGGACTGACTGTCTCTGTATAAATCCCGCGTGACTCATCCTGAGTCTGATGAATAATACTCGAACATCTTCGCAGCCATGCCCCCCAAGAAGCTCGGCCCACCCAGGCTGACCGACAAGAGGATCGTTGGTGGTGTTAACGCCGACCAGGGCGAATTCCCAGCCCAGGTCTCTGTGCACATCTATGGTGGACATGCTTGCGGAGGAACCATCATTGGCCCCAACGTCGTTCTCACCGCTGGACATTGCTGCGCCTACCCCCGTGGCGAATACTTGGTACGTTCACCTTTCCCACCGCAGCTTAATCACACTCTCATCCCCTACACTTACAGTACTCCACGCGAAATAGTTGGGTTTTTAAGGCGCGCACTGTTAGAGCACGGTTTCCTTTTCCGAGGCAGCGATATAAGTTGTGCAGGGGTGACGCATGGCGCATTGTGTCTAAAATAGGGATTTAAATTCTGCGTGGCTTGTATATTAATGCGTATGTGTTGAGTCATGTGTATGCTTCTGTATTAGTTTTCAGCTTGATGAGTATTTCATCATACTTGGCATCAAATTAGTTATTTGGCCTGAACAGCATATAGGAAGGTTTTTGGAACCAACATATTTTCTCGCCAGTTGAGTGCCTCATTCATCGTTATTAGTCCACCACGTGAATTTTCCCGTTCGAAATCATAAGAATCAACGTACATAAATAAGACTACAGTACTTCTTCGAAATTTTCATAAAAACGCGTTTGTTATTGCAATACTAGCTGTACTGTAATCTTTACTCAATGTTAATTCTCAAACGCGGAAGTGCAGTATTTACATTGAGCTAAACATCGTGTAATTGGGGAGTATTCTCTTCGCTGGCGAAGTCGATCTTGGTATTGAATCATTTCTGAGTTTTGATTACGAGCGAGTTGTTGAAAAAGATTTTTGCCGTGACTGGTTTATCGAAGTACGGTTCTTTTTTTTACGTTAACTGAGAGCCGATAGACGCTTTCCCATATTCCGAGCTATCGAAAATACAAGTATGTTACGATCATACCATTTGGGATGTTCTCATCGCGGAATCTTCTCATCAGGTCGTCGCTGGTGAACACAACTTGAACTCTGGTGAGGGAACCGAGGAGGAGCGTGATGTGGCCCGCATCGTCCAACACGAGAGCTACGATGAGTAAGGTTTCAATTCGGTCATTTTCATAATCATGTGTAGAAATTTGAGGGAATAAATTCATGTTCAACTTCCCTCTCTTCCCGTGCAGCTTCAACCTTACTGATGACATTTGCCTCCTGCATTTGGCTGGCAACCCCATTGAAGAGACCGATGCCATCCGTTATGCTACTTTGGCTGAGACTGGTCGCGAGCCCGCAGGTGAGTCTAATTTTATTTTGCCCTACATGCGAGTATAGGGAGTATACAGAAGAAATGTGCTTTCGTTTTCGTGCTGCGAAATGGAAGAAGTCAGCTTGCAAATTTTAATGACTTGGAAGTACTTACCAGCTCACGCTCCTCAATCGCTTTCAAAACCAATCAGCATAGCTGTGATAAACTGTGCCGTAGTGATAATTATCAGTATGCAGGAGTACTGTACTGGGCATGGATTTATTCCCTATTATTTTATTTCGATCTTCATTCTGTTCTTCAATATTGCTTAGTAAAAGTTACCCTCGCTGCTTTTTCGCCTTTGATCGAATCCAAGATGTCACTGATAAATTTGAGATCCCGTAAAATGTAATATGCGCACATCATCGTTTGTTTTATTCGAGTCATTATACGAGGTTTCATGTCACGATTTTACCATATACTCGTTACTGTTGATCCGTCCCGAACAATAAAGACGTGCAGTCTTCCTACAGTACAATTTACGGGGGAATAGCATGGGAATCGATTGAGTTTTTTTGTCTTAACGGATTATATTATGAAGATTTTTGGTACCAATAGAGATCTCTGCTCTCGATTTGTGCAAATAGTGCAACTCATTCAGCGGAATTAATGTACTCCATCGTGACACTGTAATCGAGGTAATTTCAGTTAAGGTAGATGAATACAAATTCGGTACCTTTTCGAATTGTCCGTCATAAAAAAAAGCACGCTGTGATTATAAGGAAGACTAAGGAAGCGTTTCTCACGTTTGATCCCGCAGATCTTGAGCTCCTCACTGTGACTGGCTGGGGTACCACCTCTGAGGGCGGCTCCCTGTCTTCCATCCTGAAGAAGGTCGATGTTCCCTATGTGCCCAACGATCGTTGCGCTGATGAGTACGCCAACTTCAACGATGTCACCCCCGGCATGTTGTGCGCTGGCTTCGAGCAGCAAGGTGGTGCTGATGCTTGCCAGGTACGTGTTTCTAATTTTTCTATTGACCAGAAATCGTGTCTCCGTCGATCCTTGGTATGATTCACTATAGATGCTAAAACACGAGTTTATCGTCGCATTAACGAATACAGTACCGTAGTTTTTTTTGTGGAATTTTTCGTGCTCGTACGGCACTTCATTCGCATTCCCTTGAATTCGAGTCCATGTCCATCAAACGAAAGTTATTCTGACACAGAAAGTGATTCAGCAGTCAGCATATGCACCTATGAGGAATGAATAAACTTTGAAGTAATTAAACGCCTCTATTCCTTCCCTTCGGTGAAACCGTTTTGGTGCTACTGCCGTTTGTCTCCGCATAAAACATGCATCTAAACTTTTCAAAAATAAATGCAATGTTCTTAAAAACTGCACATATAATTGTCTCAAAATAAATGATTGCATGATGTCTCCTCCCCATTCATTTAATCAAGCTTTCAAAATTATCATGAAGAAATTTGTGAGAAAATGACTGAATATCATTCTTTAAAGGTTAAATAAGTCAGTCAAAGCTAAAAAAGCCATCACCATTTGTTTGTGAGGTTTTTCGCGGTTTAACGGGATTTTAGCAGTTTAGAAGTGGCTGCGGTGGTTTATCAAAAAAGCTAAAAAAAATTGATAATCGATTATACTAGAAATTAAAATTGTTATTCTAGAAGACAATCAAAATATATCCCTTGGTTTTATTTAGCTAATGATCCCAAGCATTCAAGTACAGTATTTCATATTCGTGGAATTTTTCAATGGAAAAACATGTCACAGAAACACGAAATCTTGTTGGCGGGCTATATTGATGAAACAATTAATTCGCAGGAGCATAATGAAGTCTTCAATAATTTTGGTGGATGGCATTTCAACGGGGTTTCCAATACATTCATCATTAAAGAAAATTTTTAATAAATTGGCGGTTGCTCAGGGTAGCGGCTTATGAAGCGGGTGTCTTGACCGGGTTTGGATCTGTGCTGCTTCCAATTTACTGTGACTCATGTTGGGTATTTCTTCTTTCTGCGCACACAGGGAGACTCTGGTGGACCCATCTTCTTCTCTGACGGTACTCAGGTCGGTTTGACTTCCTGGGGATACGGGTGCGCCCGCCCTGGATACCCCGGTGTCTACACCAGGACCACCCTCTACAACGACTGGATCGCCGCCAACTCTCCTTGAAAAGCTTCCATCCGCTGCCCTTGGCGACAACTTCCTTTGAGGGTTTCCTCATTTAGAATGTGTACCGTCTACAGTTCTGAATAAGAGAAATCATGCAACCAACCCTCATATGAATTTTTATTTCTGCAATATTTTTTACTATTTGGCTTGGATTCATCTTCGCGGGTTGTTTCGTCCATCGGAATAGGGTTCAAAATTTCAACAACAATGTGTAGACCCAAATAACCTACACATGCAAGCTCATGAATATTTGATCCGATGTATGTAAATGTTTCCAGCCCTGCAATCCACACATGATTAGGCCAGGAGTCTTGTCAAGTGATTATGCTGTACAGTATTTACTTGAGTGCCACCTTTTTCTGAATACTGTATTGAGAGGAAAAGGGGGGGTGCACATCACACATATCGGCATCCAGTTTTTAAACAGTTTTAGAATTTTAAGTTTGCATTTCACTTGATTCTATAAATGAAAATTTGGGACCAATTCCATCAGAAAACTTATTTTTAAGAAAACATGTGGCAATCAGATGAATTAAGGTTCAATTCATGTCGTAATTCAAGTTTGGGTGCTCCTATTTTTAAAATATTGCAGCATTAGTCACAGAAATAGAGTGCATGTATTACTTGGCAAGTTGGCAACATAATTTAACCAGAATGTTAGACTGAAAAACCTGAATCGCATTTTACCGGAGGTGAAGTGCTACTTGTGTAAATGCAGTATGTTTTATGAATGTTTAAATATTTATCTTTCAACTTCGTCTGCCTGGAAAGTCTTAACCCAATGTATTTTCAGAATCATGAGTTTCTACCCCTTTTTCGTCTCCATTAATCGACACTGGAGCTTTATATTTGAGCTAAACTGCTGACACAGGGGCATTGCATTACTGGGTCTTCCAGTAGTTCGATTCTTACTGAATCAGTCTGAATTCTATTGGAAACCATGCATTGGACCATCCATTGGAATCCTTTCAAACTTGAAGGCTTCCTCTAAAACATTTGACACTCACATTTTCTGATGGAGGCATTCTGGCTATCACTTTTGTGACTCAAGAAAGAAAAACAAAGCAACATTTTTTTATGCTTTTTCAAATGAACTGAAAGCCTGATCAGGCATATAAACCCATGCTGCCAAGCTCATGAGCCTCTCAATCTCGCATTTCTGGCCCGAAATGGATCAACATTTTCAACTCCTTTATTTTTAAAGATAAAATAATGGTAGTTTACCTGGACACAAAGCCTCCCCAAGTCAAAATTATTCTGTTGACCCCTCGGAATTTGACTTGAGAGGCTCATCTGTATCAGGCATCCGTGTTAACTTCCACAACTTCCCAGTCTTGAAAAGTTCTGAATTAATGCATAATTTTTGTTCCTTCACTGCATCAATTTCAAATCGAAGGAAGGTGAAAAAGTTTAAAGAAAAACTCACCGAAATTGAGCGGAAAAAAGCTCCTTTATTTCATTCCCGTGCGTCGTCATCCAGGTCAAAAATACCGTACACATCAAATACAACAAAGATGTGCGGAAGAAAAAATCTCGCTTCGAGATTTTCTCCCCCGCTTCGAAACGCCCCCCACAAAAGTTTTACAAAAAAATCAAACGTTACACAAAAGGAAACTCTCCGAGAAAGGCAGAGAGGAAGAAAGAAGAGGAGGAAGAAGGCAGAGATCAAACGGTTGCTCTCGATACCCGCCACTGAATCAAACGGAGCGAACCGTTTTTAAAAAAAGGGTCAACAATAAACGCATCTCTCTAGCTGACTGCAGCCCGCACAAAAAACATCTTCCGTATAAAAAAGGTGGTCGAAGCAACTCTTTCTTTTTCTTTCTTTCAGTTTCTAAACATCGCTTCGCCGATATATACATCGTCAGCAGCGTGGAGAACGTCGCCGGTCGGCTCCACAAGTGCGTGTCAGTCCTCTTCCGAAGGCGTCCGAAGACTTCGTCTCTAGCCACAAATTAAATTTCCCATCCCATCAGCTGCGAAAGGAAACTTGGATCACAGAAATATTAGAGAAAAAAAGTTCCGACGACAAAAAACAAAAGGCATGCAGCAACGAAAGTGTCACAAACAAAACAAAAACAAGTGCAAGAGTTTTAAGAAACATGAAAAAAGCGAAATGTATGGGGAAAAAAGGTGAGGAGAGGGAACTTCTTGTTTCGCAACTCTAACGTCGTGTTTTATGGTAGGGGGACCAGAGGGGGGACGCACCGGAGCGACGGACGGACGCAGCCATTTGTGTGAAATCCCTGCCGCCTGTGTGTTGCCGGAGACCAGTCAAAACACCAGTGACCAAGATGAGCACCAAGGACGAACAACGGACAATACAAAATACAATACTATTTCTCATAGGCTGCCTCGAAGATCCCCAATCTAGAACAGAACCGGAAAAAGCCACATTTTTAGACTTCGTTCAGTAGTCTTCCACGGTTACCGCACAATTCAAATAAGCACGTTTTATCATCAGAAAATTACGCATAAAAACACTGGGAAGGGGGGGGCCTAGTACTCATCGAGACATTGTATCCCTGTATGGGCCACTTTGACTTGAAAACTTTGCGCCTATTCTGTACTTGAGATATTTTCCTATTTCTGCTGACTTTAATTCGAAGAGAAGAAAAATCGAACATTGCCTGATAAGTGGAAGTCAACGACTTCGTAGCACCACGAAGTGAAATTTTGAAGAGAGAACTCTACCAATTTTCCTAGAATTAATTTTATACGGTCAAACCTCTCGAAGTCGAATTTGAAGGGACAGCAAAAATATCCAGAAAAGGAGATTTCTCGTTCGGGAAACGAGCATTTTTGTAGTGGGAAAGATAGGAGAATTGCAAGATATTTTAAATGGTGATATTCTGGGCCTTTAATTCCTTCTTTTATGAGTTAATGGAATGCTGAAATTGGAGGCAAGGGTTCATTTGCCTATAGTCTTTCATTTCATTAAAAAAAAAAAACATGGAAATTCTCTTGTTTTTCTCTTTCCTGTGTCAAGAAAGTAATACCCGAAAGGCCTCAGAAAATTCGACTTACAGAGGTTCAGTAGGAAAAACCTTTGAGTTACGGAGGTTTTTAATGCATTGCTCTTAACGGAATGGAGACGGGGACTTGAAAAAATCCGACCCAGGGTTCGAGTTATCGAAGTTCAACTGTAATTCAAATGAAATTCGCATCGATTCGCAAGGCGCAACGCTTCAATTGCATCCCAAAGACTTACTTGTGTTCCTCTGGGCAAGAGACCAACGAGATTCGCATTGCCGGCGCAAACGGTTTTTTCATACGTGATCTCCAGATCGTCGTCGTCCACCACAGACACAACCTCGAGTTCAGGTTCCGGATCTGGTTCCGGCTTAGTCGCTTCCGGCACGGGACTGAGCACGAGTTCCGCCGCAGCTCGGATCCGCTTCCACGCCGACCGTTCGCCACTGTCGTTGGAGCCACCAGTGTCACTGCCAGGTGGCTCTTCTCCGCTGCTCGACTGATCCGACGACGCCACACGCTTGACGCCGATCGTCAGCGGCGAGGAAGACGTCGACACGTCCGCAGCCGCCGTTGCCGACGAAGCGGCGTCCCCGTTGACCCGTTCGGAAAACCCGTCGCATGACACCGACTCGCCGTCCTCGGGTTTCGGGGGGATGGGTTGCAGTCGAGATGACGACGACGATGCGGATTTACGCGGTTGTGGAACGTCTTCTGGCGGTAAATAGGCGCTCAGGTTCTTTCTATTCCACGAAAACGGAAAGAAAGCATCGTCATTAAACGGTCACGTATACACTTCAAGAGTGAGGCAATAAACAGTAAGAACATATTTTTCACCGTGAGTGAATTTATCCTAAACACTAGGCAATGTTCCCTCTCAGGTTGATTTGCGAAAAAGGTTCATCCCACTAACAAATAGATAAATTGAGTTACGATTCAATCAGAAATACTGGACGGGTTGATTCCCTCTACAATGGAACCCAAGGGAACAGAAAAAATCCGTTGTAGAGACTTTCGTTCTAGAGAACATGTATAACAAAGGGAGAGAACCATACGGGACCAAATCAAAATTCGTTAGACAGATAAATTCGGTGCCGACAAGATCGTTGTAGAGAGAGTCCCACCTGTAATTTGAGGACCTGAAATGTTAAATTTCGAGGATCATCGCGAAGATATTTTTGATTTATTGCATGCTTTTTCAAAAATTTTCTTGCACCTGTTTTACGGTTTCTCACTAACATTCAACAGCAGAATTGACAAAAGAAGTGCTCTTCCCAAGTTTTAAATGCTGCAATGCCAACAGACGTACTCAAAGCTGATTGGACCAGAATCATGGTGAAAACCTTGATTCCGGTCTACAAGTGGTTCGGAAGAAATGTTCGTCCATTCGTCAATACATCATCTTGCATCGACTAGTTGAACAGCAAAAGATTTTCGGTTATTTTCAGGCAAGCTTGCAAGAAATTTCTGAAGACCAACGCTGACCACGCGATGGACAACCCAGATAGACAAGATATACATGATTAACTCATCAAAATTGCGGATTTCAGATCCATTGCAAAGCCACGCTGACCCCGGGAATGGGACGGTTTATACTTGAAAAACCTTCCCCTGAATTTTAGCAACGTCGAATGAGGATCTCGATAATCCGAGAAAGCTTTGTTTCACATAATCGTTTCAGACGAAACGAGACCAAGAAAAAACTTAATTAATCCAACTTACCTACGAACGTAGTTGACCTGAACTTCCATGCCCTCCTTGAATATCCGTGTGGTCATTCCATGCCGTTCGACTGACCATAAAAAAATCGACGTGAAGAAATCGTAAAAATCAATCAGAAAAGAAGAAAGCCCAGATTTCTAACGCGACTTCAACAACTACGACCACAAACATCAACGAACGCGATGCAACTTTCTTAACGTTTGCGAAATTTTTTACGGAACAAATTATCATTCTTCATGATCAAACGAGTCACGTAACACCGTGGTTTGAGGAAAAATGCGCTAACAGACCCGCTTCTTGGAAAGTGTGCGTTTCCGACGACAGATCCAGGCTGACGCTGTCTTTCTGAAACTCCAGTCCTATAAACCAGTGTGTGGCGCGGTTCAGCCTAAATTTGGAAACAATCTTCAGTTTCACGACAGGACAAAACTTTTCAAAAACGGAACACTCGTAGAAACATAATACATAGTCAACATCACGGTGTCGCCAAAAAAGCTCCTATTCCCTATTTTTTCGGTCGATAAAGACTTCAATGAAAAGCCGCGGTTCTTTTTATTTCAACGCCCAACCTCGCATTCCGGAATGCTGGGCAGAATTTGCATGAATCACCGATACTTCGGAACTCCACCTCACTCGAGCAAACTCAAATCGTCCTAATTGAAAAGAGCGAAGACAAACCAACTCGGCTACATCGAAACAACCTTATACCGAACTGAAAAACCGTAAAAAGATTTACGAGATACCTCAGCAGCCAGACAAAACTGTTTTACAGAATTGCAAACGTAGAACATTCAAGCGAAAAGAAAACAAAACACATAAATGTCTGACAACAGGAAATCGAACAAAAATCATCACTCACGTTTCGGGGTCTCTTGAGGGATAAGTTCTCGGGTACACGTGAGCCAAACTGATGACCGATATCCGTTCCAAACTTGAAACTAAATGCCTGATCCTACTTTCAACAAGGCCCTGCCAATCTAGAAGTTCTTCTTCATTTCGACATAGCGCTGTCACCACGATCAGGTGTTTGTACATGTTGAAAAACTTTATTGGATCGAAGAGTCGTTCCCACGATGCCCGTCCGTGAATTATCTGCAAAAAATTATTATAATAATGAATCGATAGAAAAATAGTACAGAATTTCATCAACCCCGTTTCCTGGGACAGCCTTTTCAATGACGCCTACCTTACATTCAACATTTTCTACACGGACAAAGAAATTTTTCAAATGACGTCACACATGACACTGCCGGCAACACCTTTACATAGCATGACTGTCCTGCATTTCCATTTCGTAGTGAATTTCATCATCAACTGCACATCGGTTACACGGATTCCCCACTTACTTCAAGTATAGAATCTGGATCATAAATTGGAAATATCATTTATCTTTACGGGTCATTTATCAAAACGTGAAGATCACTTTTTTACTAGAACAAATAAAAAAACCCTCCCATAATCTTGGGCTTTTCCGGGTTCTTTGAATTGATGGCAGTCTTCAATTCAGCTGATTAATTCTCAAGAGACACAGCTTTGTATCCTGCGTCTTTCATTGAACAAAGAAAAGAAGAATTACATGCATCTTTCCCCTTTCAAGTCCTCGTACAAATCACTCAATTCGAAACTTCCCATAAAAAATGTTCAATATTCTCGACATCCGAATTATACTAGGGAATTTGGCTTTTCCTGAGGAGAGCAAAATAACCGCAGACAGAGAAAAATTAAATAAGTATGATTTGCGCTCGATGACACGCCGGATAATACCTCTCCATACTCCTTCGAGCATAACTTTTCCAACGGACCATCAATTGGACTCTGAACTCGTTCAAAAAATTCACGAAAAAACTACGTTAACCTTCATCGTGCTACAACAACGCGAAGGCTTGAAAAATAACAATAACCCACACACTACTCACTTCATCGGTTATTTGTAGCCCACTCTTGAACGCTTCCATCATGATGGACCGTGTCGATGTGGTGACATTGAAAGTTGAGTTTTGCTGGGGATAAGCGGGGGTGATGATGGGCATTAAATGGTACCGATCCGACACGTTCAAGCGCGGGTCCCAGATCGGGAAACCTAACTTAGTTTGGTCCGGTTGCCTCAGCACGACAGGCTTCGGCCATTCCCAATTAGAAAAAACTAAGAAAAACTTGTATACTAGCGTCGATGGTGCTGCATTCGGGTACAACTGACACGTTCGCGCGACAAGCATGGCCCAAGAGACTCCTCCCAGGTACCCGAGTACGTTACTGTAAATACCTCTTCCTGAAATGAAATTTAGAGAGAATAAAATCAAGGCATGCCGGCTTTTTCTTGACGTTTGATCGAGGGAACTTACGTTTCGCCCAAAGGCGCACGGCACGTAACGTCAACCGGAACGTTTCGCAATCAGGAACAAGACGTAAGATTTCGTCAGTTACTCTACAACCATTCAAGCTTCTTACACATCGAGGGTCCAAGTTTTTCAACAAATTGTTGTCACCCAGCTCCTGGAAAAAAATGTTGAATAGAAACTTGAATCAGATTACAATACGTCCGTTATTTTTCGTTATATCTTCAGATGAGTTTCAGAAGCTCGAAGACAGTTTGGCTCAATTCCAAACAAAGCCGATCGTGATCTCCAACATAACACGAATACGATTTCCACAGGACATCAAAACCATTACGGAGGTACAGTACTTCAATGCGATGACACTCAGTGGATCGAATCCTTCACACATACAACACGGAGTACAGTAGAGTATTTCTAACTTCCCATGGACTAACTTCTCACACACCGGATTCAAAATGAATGGCTCGTTTTTCGAAATCCCTTTCACCTTCGTGATCATATCCTTACCTATTTGGGTCGTCTTGTTTATTTTCCAGAGCATATTTTAAGAAACTCTCAACTGAAAATGATGCCTTGAAATTCGAAAAAAACCCTCATTGACAATTTTAAGAAATAAGTAGCATTAGATAAAGAAATTGCATTCTATGAAGAGCAACACAACGTGAAATTCTGAAAAAAAACACGGAGAGATGGGACAAATAGGTTTTCGCAAGACGAAATATTCACATCAGAGCGAGTAACGCAGAATTCAAGGCACTAGATAATCAAGCCTAACCTGAATAGTCCAATCTTCACTGAACTGAATCCAAAAACGGCAATAAATTCAAGACTAGTAGACTACACACCCCGCGTATAACTTATTCATGTAACAATCCGAGACTGTGGTATCAAATAACTGAAAAGAACGCATTTTTTCATGAACAATTTTACGCACCAGGTCATCGGGTATATCTTTCAGGGCAAGACGAGCGAATAACATGTCCAATTCGATGCCTTTCAGGTTCATTTTGATAACAGGAACATAAGCGTCTTCTACAACCTGTGAACAACGAAGTGAAGGTACTATTCCGCATGATGAAACTCAATGGACTTACGCGGATAGCAGTGATGTCCGAGTTCTCTCTCAGTAGCTCAACGAAGGACGAGAAAAAATCTGAGCGATCTACGTGTCGTGGGGCTATACATAACGTATCAATATCCGCTCCACGAGTATGTATCCCCAAACGGAAAGAGCCAAAGGTATAAATCTTGCCGCAAGCGGAATCCACGGATTGGGGAGGCAGGTTCTTCGCGCGGGAAACAGAGCGAACCCATTTTGTGACGAGTAGGTTCAGCTCACTCAAAACTTCCATTCTGTCAGGACAAGCGTAAAGTAAATCAATTCAGCATTCATAAAATAATCAGAAGCAAACGTACCGTTGATTTAATCCTTCGTCCGTGTCGAAAATTCCATGACTATCCGCTCGCAAACACGCTTCCAGTTCGGCTGTCCGCAAGATGTCTGTGTCGCGAGGGCCTTGTAGACTCACAGGTAAAGTCATGCCATATATGACGGACGGTGCACTAGACATCTTCGACGTCTTCGGTCAATAGTCCTGCAATGGTATGTGTCTAAGCTTGAATTAATATTTACAAATTCTAACTCACTTCAGAGGGCAAGCAGTTTCTGATCATTCAACCCAGCAAAAATTCCATCGATCTAAATAGAGCGCAATTCAGATAACGATTCGGATATTGAACAAGTTCCGCAAATTATTCATTCCTTCAAATGATAATAGTGCATGGAGATGAGATTGGGAGTCGACCAAGAACTCAAGCAACGGCATGCTCCCTCATTCGGAGAATTTCAATCAATTGAAACTTACACCATCAGCTAACCCGCGAACAACAGAATGATAAAATCACGAAAAATTTTACACAATAGCGTGGACAGTCACGTTACTCTTCTGATCTCTGCGGTTATTCCGTGCATGGAATCGAGTTACACGCACGGCACGGACTGACACGAAAGTATTATGTGTGGACAATGGCCACACAGATATCACCTGGACTCCACGAAGCAACGCATCAGCACTCACATTCTTTCAAAAATGTTCTGGTACAAAACCAGGCAACGATTATTGAGCAACTGCAGTTCAGTGGTCAAGGTATTCGTCATATTTTATCGCAGTAATCGTAGATATTTTAGAGTACGAAATGAATTAAACTTAACTCACATTTTTACATAATTCGAATTCAACTTTTCAATTCCTCAAAAATTTCAAGCAAAATCCGGTGCAACGCTTTCTCTTATTCATTGCTTACACTACTTGTTCGCTCGCCCCATACCTTCCCATCTCCCTACCAATGGACAAGATACAGAGCCTCGCGTAAGGTGCAAAGAATCCTTGGAAAAGACTGTCATGGACGCTTCTTCCTGAACCAGAATTCTTCGTTCGGAACTTCCTGTAGATGCCGCAGGATACTCACCCCCTCGAAACTTAATCCAGGACCAGGAGTACATCTTCCCTGCGCAGGACATACTTGAAGTGCGTCTTACCTGGGTAGGCGGTGTACTCCGGTGTGTGCTATGCCATCCGGCGGGTCTAATCAAATCCGTTTAGTTGAGTTCCGCAGTGGGCTTTTCTGTGGAGGAATTCTGTGGAAATCTATTGGCAGTTGTGCAGGAGGCACTTGTACACGTGAGGTGACCCACCTCTTGTGTACAAGTGCCCAATTGTTTACCATGCTTCAAGTCCTCATAATGAACTTTGAACATATTGTGTGCCTTTGTGGTCTGTACAATGCCTCCTGTGAAAATAGAATTTGGCGGAATTCTGCTGTTTTTTTTTCTGTCGAAGTAAACGCCGCTTCAAAAATCGCTGCGGAGAAGCCTCTGCAGAACTTCATTCCGCGGATGTGGACTGCTCCTCCGTCAGGGGAAGTTTGCTGCGCCTGGGGAGTATACCCTGCCTCCTGTACCAGGCGGCTTTTCGTGATGGAGTAATAACTGGCATTGTGTGATTCCCTTAGAAGTTACCTTGAAATTAGTGAATGGTACTTCTCCAGGCTGTATGTAACTTGCTTGAGTTTAACCTGCGTTTTTGTTTCTTGTTTGAAGCGTGCTTCATGGCGTTGACATGGCAAGAACATGTCATCCGCTGCTCCGGGCATCGAAAGAAAAGATCATTAGGTGTATGCGGCGGCAGGTGTGCAATCCGCGTGTGCTCTTTTCATTTATACTCGCCCTTGTGTTCGTGTACGCCACGTGGACGGTGTTCGCTGTGCAGCGAAGTACATACCTCCTCAAGAATCCCAGCGCACGGAACGACGTAACTCTACGAAGAATACGGCAAGTGAAACCGATCAGGATTCCGAGGAACTACTCGAAACCATTGCCTTCTTTCACTCCTCTACTCGTGAATGCTCATAAGCCTTTCGAAAAGCTTGTGCACGATGCTCCGAATGCTTTGATAAAATCTGTTGCGACTGTGGAGCGGAAGCGGAAACCTGTGCCGCAATTTTCACCGCAGCTCAAGGAAAACTCCCCGTATAAGGTGCTCAAGAACTACTTCGGTCCGTCAAAGTCAATTGTCGGCGTTAATTCCAAAACCAACAATGACACGGTCACTTTTTGCACTCACGCAACGGTGAACTATCTCAAATTTCTGGTCGAATTGACGAAGCGGTGGCGAGGACCAGTCTCTGTCGCTGTTTATGCCCCTGGAGAAGATTTTGTCTTGGCTGTTGAGATTATCGTTTTCCTCAGGTAAAAGCAGTATTTTGTTTCTCATGTTTGTATACCGTATTTCAATTTTCTGAGAATTCATGTCTCTGACAATCGAAAAATTAAAAATTTTACTCGTGGTAAATCCACTGTGCATTATAATTTTGTGAATGCCGTTAGAAATTGTGAACTACGTATCTTTTCTCCAGGCTCGACCATGAGCTCAAAACGCGCAAGTGATTAGATCATTCATAAGTTACTATAGATCCTTTGTTCTTCCTAACTCGTGGCCACAGTTTTCTATTCAATGAAAATCTCCTTCAATCTTTTCAGGGCGTGCTTCCCATCTGTTCGAGCATATGCAGCATTTCATCTGTTCTATGACGCTGATCTGACACCGGAAATGGACTTGCGACTCAGCTTTGTGAATGTATCCGCCAGATGCGCTGTGTATGAGAATCATTTCGTCTCTAGACCTTGGTCGCTTGCGTATCCAGTTAATGTGGCTCGGAACGTGGCCCGAGCTGGGGCCCGAACGAAGCACGTTCTTGTTGCCGACGTAGAACTCATGCCAAGCCGGGACTTCGTTTCAAAGTTCGCCAACTTCATGAGTCGTGAGGCGCGAAAAAACAATGCTGTTATGACAGCTAATCACAGGTATTTTGTTGAAACACGTGTGTTTTGGTCGTGTGTTCAGAGTAAATAATCATTGTTTTTTTTTTAGGGTATTCGTACTGCCCGTTTTCGAAATCGCTCCTGGAAGAGAAATTCCGGAAACAAAGAAGGATCTTGTAGCGATGATCAACGCCAGAACCGCATTCTACTTCCACAGTCTGGTGTGTCCACATTGCCAACGATTTCCTGGGATTAGTCAGTGGATCAGCTCTGAAAAACCATCTGAAAACATCAAGGTAATTTTAACTTGTTTCTTTTAATTAAAAGTTGAGTGATGTTACCTCATTCAAGGTGAGAAGTGAACGCCTCTGTGTGAGACTCGTTGGTGATTGCAAGTGCATGAACTAACAAGCGTCGAAAAAGTTGTAAAATTTTATTTGAATTGTTATAATTTTTCGATTTTTGATCGTACTGTTCTTTCATCCGAGAAATCTTTTCGAAATTTTTCGCAAATTTATCGTACGAGGTTTTCTGTCTAGCCCGTTTTCCAATTTTTTAATGTGAATCCTACGCAGGTATTCACCGTTGCCCGACGAGAAGGAGTTTTCCTACGTTGGGAACCGATTTATATTGGGACCAAGAAAGACCCTTTTTTTGATGAACGTCTCACATGGGACGGGCTGCAGGATAAAATGAGCCAAGTGAGTTTTATGTCGCAATCTTCTGTGTGAAAACAAGCGAAAAATAATCGACGCATGAAATAGGTCCTGGAAATGTGCCTTGTTGGGTACAAATTCGTCGTGTTGGACTCGGCATTCCTGGTGCATCGTCCTGGACTAAGAACGGTTTCTTACATGAGCAACGACCCGTCCGTCAAATGGAGACACCCTTTGATTGCCTACAACAAGAACATCACCGAAGTCATTCACGAGGAATTAAAAGCCAAATACTCCGGCGCTTTCAGAAGAGGCATGTGTCACCAACCAAAGGCTTGATTTGAGAAATAATCAGACGAATGCGAGTATAGGTGACGAAGCTGTGAGGGTTTGAGGTTCGATCATTCGCTTTTCTGATTTCCGTGGAACGATTCGGTCTCGAGACTGATTCGTTGCAGAATCTCATCTCAAGATAAGTTATTTTTTATGAGGCCTTCAAAATTACCTCTGATTCAAAATTGCTACGGGAAACTTTTTTTCCAGACTTTGGGGCATTATATTTTTATCTCCATGCTTGCTGTAGCGTTGGGCATGGCTTTTATGACTCGTCGGTCTGACCAAATGTGATTTCTCTATGAGGGAAAATTATGACCACATTCTTTTCAGTGAAAGCCCAAAAAGGTGTTCTGTTATTCTTCAACGTTGTGAATTATATGAATACCGCGTATACGAGAAAATCCGAATATACCACAGTGATCTTTTACTGAAAATACTGACACCACTCTTTCTTGAGCTAAATACTTCGTAATTAAAAATAAATTTAAGTGTAGAGGACGTTGAATGTTCGTGATAACATTTTAGCATGCAATGGTTCTCTAAGGACTCTCCTGTTTATGACCTAGAGAGGAATTAAATTTTTTTTTCGCAACATTTACAGAACATGAGAACCTATTTGGATCAGACAGAAATTTTCGTAAAAATTCTATTAGAGGGAAGGTCCCACCTCTTTTAATTAACTAGGTCGAATTTTTCAAGGAGTTTTGAATCGCCTAGGCTTTTAGGAAGAATGTCATCATCGCTCCACTGGGCATTAAAATTGCTGGGGAGTTTTTCTTCGGAGCAAGTAAGTGAAATGGTGGGGAAAACCATTTTTCCTGGTGAAATATACGAGAATGATTGAGACGGTTTCCAGAATGAAGTGAAGAGTTGTTTTCTCGGTGTCCTGAACAAGGTATGCTGTAAACTGAGTTCGGACTCATTTTGTCGTTTCATCTCGTCGAACCCAATTTTCTGGGTTCTAGGCTTGTTCGTTAAGCTTTTTTCTCATTTAGCTTCGGAGTTATTGCTTGGAAATTTTTCTGGTCTCTCGAAATGCGTGAATATACTGTATATTTGCATTTTCCCGTTTTTGAGCATTTAAAAAATCGTTATAATCTTGGTGCAATATTGAATTGTGGCGTGGAATGAGTTTGATCTCACTTGTGTTTTACGACAATCTTTTCACGCGGAATCAAACGGTTGCACAACATGTCTTTCGTAAGCGCAACTTTTCGTGTGTGATGATGGGTTAATGATTGCGTCAATGATCTCAATTGCGATTGAAAGCTGCATTTTTTATTCCATTCCGGATGTAATACCGCGTCTTTCACGAATATATTCCTCGATTGCGACCGAATGGCTTCATTAATTGTACCAGTGCGTGTGTAGTAGTGAACAGAAAGCGTCATCTACCATTGGCCTGGAACCATTGAAGTTGTCCGGGCTTATCCGATAAGTGTCCGTTTGCTGCGCGGGAATTAAATCTTCAGATCTTGTGTTGTACGCGCGAACGGGTGAATCCAAATAATCGGTTAAAATATACTTTACGGAGAATCGTTCGAGGCAGAAAACCTGAAAGCGATTGACGAGTCATTGAATCAAGACTCTCGATCATCTGCCTACTGACTGGGTACCTTCACCCAGATTGGCTAAAGTTAAGCTCAGTTTCTGAAGAACAAATTCTGAATTGCATCAGTGTGAATAATCCCAATTTGGAAAAATTGATAGGATGATCATAAAATTTAATTCGTCTATTCTATGTGTTAAGTATAGGTCCATAAAAACTTGGGGTGACTCATCAGGAAATTAAGGAGCACGAGTAAAAGAAAATGCATGCAACTTCGATTCTCTCATGTGAAACAAAATGTGGAAATGGTTATTCATTCACTCAGAAACCTGAATGATGGAACTTCTACAGTAATCACTGATGAGCATCACATCAACAATTTTAAAAGGTCGTGGGAAGAAAGATATACAGTAATACTCGTTGTTTTCAAGTTTCATTATTAATAAAAATTTGGGTCTTCAAGTATTTCTATGGCAATTTTTTCCTGCTGCCTCTGGTAATAGCAGAAGAAGGAAGATGTTGGCATGACTCAGTGAAAAACTTGACTTCCACTCTGATTATATTGATGAAATTAATCGTTCTGTACAGTTCTATTGTCGAATATACAACTCTGCAACCCGTCGTCGTATTCAAGTTAGCGGGAAACTGTAGGGCTGTTTGATGATTTTTTTTTCGCTATTCGTGGGAATTCCGTGGGCACCCCGCATTGCAACTTCAATGGGGAAACTCAAGATAGTCGAGATGCACGTTGATCACATTAATGTTTCTGTAGTTTTAGCGCTGCTGTCCTGTAAGGCTCCCGAGTCCTGACTCAACTCAGCAGAACATTTTCTGCACTCTTATAGTTTGAAAAAGGCGAACATACCTAGCGATATTTTCGTTTTTGGCTTTAAAAAAAACGTTGTCCAATGCTGTGGTTTTCTATACCCGAATTTCGCTGCGAGGCAGAAAATTTTGCCGCATCAACATGACTAGCTGTTCGAAACGGCAAGTCTCTATAGAGGAAGAACATGATTTTCCGGGAAATTCTCTTTCCCCATGCAGTCCTTCGAAAGAAGCATGGAGGAATCAGATTCAGACGAGATCTTTGTACAACTTGAAAAAAATTCATATTTTGAGGAAACGGAAAATCTATTGGGGAATCAGTGTGACGAGAAAGCATCCGAAAGTGACATTTTTCGAAGAATATGGGGACTGAAGGGGATATTTATTTATTTGTCTGCTATCCTTGCTGTGATCACCACTCTTGGCAACTGGATGGTAATATACACCGACGGATCATCTTGGAACTTGTTTGCGAATGTGTCCGATCCGCACAACGGCCTGATGATGCATCCTTGGTTCATGGTCCTGGGGGTGCTGATGATCTTGAGCAACAGTGAGTTTTTTATGAACACCTAATTAAAATGTGTGTAATGGGATGACCTTGAATAACATACATTATCTGCTCCAGTGGACAGTTAGTTATTAAAGGCTTTTGTTGTTCGGGATCACAATTTTTAATAGCAACTAATTTAAATTCATATAATTGGTCTGCTTAAAATAAAGAAAAGGAATAGCAAAGATTCTTAAACTAACAGAAGAGCATAAAAAAGCATTTCTTACTCATAATTTTTAATTGTAATTCATGATCATTATCAAAATGAGAAGCACAAAGGGAGCCCAAATTCCACCAAAAATTCAATTTCCCTTGAAATGTATATATGTTCTATTTGCAAATGGATACTTTCATAGAAAAGTAAATTATCATGACTTTCACAATTTTTGTTCCTTATGTTCTGTATTTTTACATATTTTTCTCCTTGAGATTTGTTCCACTGCTGGTCAGCAGTGGTCACGTTTAATGCCTAAGGCAAAATGGCTGCCAAGCTCAAGGAATAAGTTATTTTATACTCAGTGATGGGCATTCATTAGTTTTTTTGAGGCCCCATTATTTAACTGTGCTATGTTTTCATTTCATTTTTATGAATTTCTAGGAATGGTGTTGGAGAGAGTTTTGGGCCCTTGGTGCTGCTGGAGAACATCTGCCAAAATTAAAGCAATTTCAATATTTTTCCATGCCTTGACTGCAGTGAATGTTGCCTTAGGTGTGGGTAGCATTGTGCAATGTCATGCGACGAAATGGTCTGCTGTTGATCACCTTTATAGCATGCACAGTTGGCTTGGACTTTTGACTGTATTTTTTGTGATTCTACAGGTGAGTCGTAGTCGTCATTGCACTGTACAGTGTTACCAAACTTGGGAACACAAGAGGTTTCTAGCATAATTTTTTCCTATGCATTTTCTTTGACAGCTGCTTGTTTCTTTGATTCCCAGTCGAGTTTGGGACAGTTGGAGGTCAGTACAGTGCTGTACATAAATTGAATTGAAAAATTCGAAAAAAGCCCTGAATACTGTATTTATTTTCCCTTCTGCAGACAATTTCATCAATATGTCACATTTTCCATAGCTGCAGTGACTGCCTCAACTGGAGCTCTCCAAGCTGCAATTTTCAAGCTGTGAGCAATTAAAAAACGATTTCTCAGCACTGTATTCATTCAAGTGCCATACATGCTATCAAATAAGATGTGCACCTTGATTTTTAATCCTAAATTTGGAGAAAATATGTCACCTACTCATATTCAGGCACATTAATTTTGAGTCCCTTTGTGAAAATTCGTAATTTTGCAAGATTAAATTACATTTAAAATCGATTTTATACATAATTTGAACCTTCATTCAATTGCTCTTTATATTTTTATATGAATACGTTTTTGCTTCGATATAATTTTTAAGAATGACTTCATTTCTGAAAAAATTTGCTGCGATTCAAAATTTCCCATAACTGGTACCTTTATGATCAGCATCTGAATTTCTCAAAAATTTTATCTAATTTTTTTAGCGAATGCACTCGGTTGTTCTGCGCGCAGTGTTTGAATTCATTCAATTTTTCCTGAACTTGCTGTTGTGCATGGTCTAAAAAAAATTATCATATTCACTTTTGAGTCGAATACACCTTGTGACCACCATAACAAACAACACTGCATTTTGAAATCAGTAATTCTGAACTTGCATCCATTCATGAAAGCTGAATTACTTTGTATATTCTTGTTTTTGATTTTAATGATGGAAGCTATTGCAGTTAAACCTCTCAAATTTGAAATGTATGAAGAAATTAATGTTAAGGTTTGGTGTATGGTTCAATACTTGCATGCGTTAATCGAAAAAAAAAAAAGAATTTCTGACCAAATTTCAAGAAATGTTTAATGTGTATGATTTGTAGTTTTACCTGAGATTAGTTTTCAAATCCTTTCTTCAGATCAGTTTTGAATCTTTTGATGCACATACTTCATCTTTTTTTTGAACAGTTGTTTTAATTTAATGAGATATAATCTTTTTTCAACAAATACTGTTACTAGTTACTACACATTTTTCAGTATCAAAAACTTTTTCCAAGTTGTGGCAGAAATCCTATACAGTGCATGTTCATGTTATAAAAATATTGTTACAACAAACTCTCCAATTCCAGTATAACAAACTTTTTGAGTAACATTTTGTGATTTTCCAAAGGAAAAATCCCCAATGAAGTCAGGCTTAGTCTCAAATTTTCTATTCAAAATGTAACTGTATGTGACTAGTTCTTTGGACATATATTGGAACTTGGAACCAAGGATAAAAATTATCCAAAATTCACCTGAACATCCTCTCTTTTCAAAATGTTTCCTGGGTTAGGAAGGATGGGAGGGAGGTTTATAGGTGAAAAAATGATCCCAAAAATGCATGTTGAAAGGGGGTTATTGAATGCTTGAGAAATCTTTCTGATGCTTAAAAACGGTAAGCTTTTTTGGAACATCAACCCTTACAAATCTGTGCAGGAATTGCTTATAAAAACTCAACAAGTCCTCAAAAAGTGCTAGTGTCAACCCGTTATTTGGAGTAAATGTTTGTTATTAAAATTTGAATTTCTTTTGACAATCACTTTTTAAAACATAGAAAAACATTTCAAAATGCCACAAAAGGAAGATCTTAAATATACTCATGTTTACTAAAAAAAAATCTTCTTAGCAGCGAATATTCTTTAAAATATTGTTATAAAAAATTATTTTTTACAACAAACTTTTCTGAAGTACCCACAAGTTTGTAGTAACAATATTTTACCGTAATTCACAAGCCTTGAAATATTTGACTGAAGGAGGGGCATATAGACAGAACAGTTACAAGTTCTGTGGAGGTTCAAAAATCAAAATGGATTTGTTTTGATGGGCTTGGCCAGGAATCCCGTGGTAATAGCCGGAAATTCAAACTGTAGGATGATTTTTGACTTAACAGAGTACCAATTGTAATTTTGGCAAGTGTTTCTGCACGTTTTCTTTTATAGGCCTTCAGAAAAAGTTTCCCCAACTTACTCCAAGTTTTCGCATGAAGGACAGGCCATGAACTGGTTCGGAATCGCTTTGGCTGGATATTTTTCTGCTACCATTTACCTTCTGATGCTGAATCCTGTCAGAAAATGCAAAGATTCTCCATCAGGGTATTCAGGAATATCGGGATCATCTTCGGGCATTGAACTTGGTGTGAAATCTGGGAAATCGTTTGGTGGGACTGATGTGTTACATTCGACTTTGGCGAATTGATTTTTTTTTTGCGCGAGATTTGGACGAAAAAATTCTTGCCGAAAATCTAAAATTTTCCGTGAAATCACAAAATACTTGGTTTTTCTTCGCTCTTGAAATAATTCAATCATATGCATTTTATGATTTTTTTGAAATTGAAAAATAGGCATGTTTATTTCTTGCGGACTTGTTGGTCTTTCACGAAGAAACAAGACTCGAGATTGTGATATTCAAATGGAAAGGAGGTTGCTTGCGAGTTTGTGGAGTGTTCGAGGGATCACGTTTTACACCGGCTCAGTGATCTTGGTTATTCTTGCTCTTTGTGGTTGGATTAATTCTCACACGAATGGACTGACCCGGGACTTTCTGGGAGCCTTCAGCAACCCACACACCAGCTTACTCATGCATCCGTGGTTCATGTTTCTGGGTGTTCTGAACAGCCTGGGCAACAGTGAGTTGGGTCCTGGTCTTTTAAGCCATTTTAGGTACCCCAGTGGGGAGCATTTTTTGCTGTGACCCCACAGTAGGTGCACACCAGGGTCACAACTGGAGCATATGGGATATTCTGGGGGTACAAGTGTGCACTCCTGTAGAGGAAATTTTGCTACCATTCCAGGGTTACACTTATTGCACAAATGTGAAATAACAGGAGCTTGCACCAACTGTAACCTTGGTGTAACTTATTTGTTTTCAAATGTAACCCTGAGTAATCCTGGTGTGAACAGCACACAATTGGTGCACATTGGGGATATGCATGTGCAACAGAAGAACTTTGGTACACTCCAGGTACACAGCAGGGTCACTGTGTAGAATTACAAACAAATCCCCAGTGTGCACCGATTTCCCCACTTGGGTAGTGTTGAAATTCATTGATGAGATTCAATTTTTTTGGCACAAGTTTTTGATACATGAGAATCTTATGGCAAAAAATGATAAAATATACTTCTTTGCTACAAATTTTCCAAGCCTTGTCATAAAGGCACAATTTGTTCATCATATTTTGGCAAATGCCTTTTTTTCTCGCAACAAAGACTTCTCAGGGCCTAAATGGCTTCTGTTAAAAGGTATTATTTTATTTACCTGAGTACCATATGCACATTTAAAAAATTAAAAAATGAGGCACTGTTGGTCATATTTTGGTATGCATTTTCATATTTATGGGTATGAGATTTTGTTAAATTCAAAGTCTTCCTCATTAAATGTTATTTCAATGTTAATGTACAGTACTTCCATATCACTGGTGGGCTCTCTTTATAATGATCCTGTCTTATTGTCTAAAATGATATTCTTGATTTAGAAATTTTTTAATTGCTGGGTACTCCCCCATGATAGGGGTTCTCTACAGCAAAATGCTCTCAAAAGAAAATTTGTAAGCTTGGTTCCTTGAATTTTCATGTAGAGAGAGAGAGTCAACATTTATGTACTTGTATGAAAGATAAGTATGAATTCTGTTTTCAAGTGCACTTGAATTTATATTTTTACTCAACACAGCTTTTCAAATAGGAGTTATGGTGACTGAAAACTTGGTGCATACATGTCTTATGCAGACATCAAAATGTTTCTGAATCCTTTGGTAAAAGTCTGAGGTAAACATAATACTTGATGACATTAAGTACATATGGTACTATATGTTATATTTGCCAGGAGATGTGAATGATGAGATGCTACAAGAATGGGAAGGAGTACAATTGCCTATTGCATTTCCAACATGTGGACACAGTCTGCAAAGTAATTATGTCCACCTCTGAATGGCATGTCCACCTCTGTACAGTATTTAAATCCAGGAGCTGGTACAAAAGCCATGGCTTGAAAGTGGTCCTATTCATATTCCACAAATAACAATATGGCATAGAAAAGCCATCATAAAAAGTAATTGATGACGTATGAGTGATTCAGCAGAAAGTGTGCAGTATAAGACCTCTCTAAAATTTGAATTTGAAAGCCACCAAGAAATCCAATCGACTTTGAGAGATTTTGATGATTTAGGGAGGTCATAGAGAAACTATAGGGCTGCTAAAGCTTGGGACTATGCAAAAATAAAATCAAGTTAGGGAGGTTTTTACTTGGGGAAATTTTGGTTATGGAAGTTAATTTTTTATATTGTAAAAATTTACTTTTCAGTGAAAATGGTGTACAATAACCCATTGTGTTTATATACAGTGCATCAGTACAATGTTCGTGAGATTTTTTTTTTGCATAAAAATTTTAGGATTTTTTGTTTGTTTTTAAAGTGGATGAATAATTGCTCTGTGTCTTTTTCATAATTTCAGGGTTGTTCATTTCAAGAATGGCAAAACCTTCAAATTTGGGTCCGTATTTCAATAGGAGAGGAATTTCATTTGTCCTCAACTCGGTCACCTTCTGGATTTCCATATTAGGCTTGATTTCAGTCCTGCTGTGGCAAGGGTCAAAATCACGCTCAGACAAATTCTATACCTTGCACAGCTGGTTTGGGCTCATCACCATACTTTACCTCGCCCTACTGGTAAGTAAAATAAAAATAAGAGGGTACATTTAATTATCTCACGAGCAAGACGGACTACAGGGGAAACTGATGGCTTATTTATTTTTCTAGAGCCTTTTTAGTATGATGAAATGCAGTAATTTATGCAGGTGAGCGATTATATTGAGTCATCTGCAGCCTTTTGTTAATTTTGATGAATTCCCAGAAACAAATGTGTGATTTTTGGATTTTCGTTGGCTGCTATTTCTGCTGTCACCGGAGCAGTTACGGCTGCAGCCCATGATTTGTGAGTTATTTTTCTTGCCTGCTTGGAGTAATTGTTTTTAATGCACTTTTTCGAGCAGACAATCGTGCACATAAGTCTAGAATTTTTTGATAATTAAGAAGTCGCCATGTGTTTTCACCTTGTTATACTTGAAAAAAAAGCGCTCCTGAAGCAGCATTAAGATAAGAACCGGTGAAGGGCAGGAAATAAAATAAACTCTTTTTACAATTGCCTCCCAAGAACCTGAGAGAGAATCCGTAATGACCTGAAAATTGCAGTATTTAAACATGTAGAAGAATTTATTATAATGAGATTCGTAGTTCTTTGAGCATGTAGAGATGACATTCTGTAAAACAAGGGACAGACGCTTTAAAATACTCACAATACATATGTAAAAAATTGCCCAAGCTTCCAATTTTTTTTAATGAATTAATGGAGAACATTCATGATTTGAAATATAATTACTGTATCTTATTTCAGACCTTCCCTCTCTTAAGTTTTTTAAAAAATGAATCTTACTAAAGTTTGAGCTGAAACCAACAGAAAACACATCAGTAAGAGCAGCATTTATTCAATAAAAACTATAAGTTCCCTAAAGTGGAACAGCATCCTTCCAAACATACTTTTTTCAAAAACTTCATTCTTGAAGGTACTGTATATTTTGGAAGATCCCTCAGTTCTTCGAATATTAAAAACTGAGAATGGTAGAAAAGCGAGATCTAATTTATTATATAAGCAGGTCTGATGACGTGGAAATGTTTTCCTGTCATTAATTTTGAGAATCTTTTTACAACAAATTATTCAGTGAAAAATACTTTCTCTAAAGTCCGTGAAAGTTTTTTTGTAGCGAGATTTTACTATATTTGCTGCGAATCCTAGTTCATATTCTTCTTTTAATTTACTTACAATTCTAGGATATTATTTACGGATTTTGCTTCGCGAGTTGAGACTTTTTTTCGATTTATTTTTTCCTTGGACACAGGCCTACAGATGTGGTTTCTTCGGAATATTCGAAATTTTCGCCGGACAGTCAAGCCTTGAACCGTGTTGGGATCGCCTTAGTTGCTTATGCAATTGCAACAATGTACGTTTTGCTGTCCAATACCAGCAGTGTTGCCAACAACGAAGACGATTTTTCTGCGTCGCTTTCAGGCATCAATTCAACGACCAAAACTATCGCGAAAATTGCTTGATTTTCCAGATCATTTGCTGCTAAGTACCTGAGTTGGCTGAGAAGTATGAAAATGTTCAACCCGAGGAAGTGTTGACGGAAAGTACCGGTTAATTGAGTCAGAAATATGTATGATGTGAGGTTTTCAATGTCGAGCAGACGCGTTATTTTATTCACCGTGCTTTTTACAATGTTTTTTTTATAAATAAAATTGTGAATACAGAAAGGTTCTCGAAACTAGCTCTTTTGCTCTTGGTTTTTTATTTTAATCCAGCTATGACGACGTTGGAACATTCAGCAAGCACATCGTTCCCATGAATTGCTAAAAATGCGCAATTAATTTTCGTACCAGCTGTGTAAATTCGTTGTATCAATCCGAGTTTATAGGGAAAATATATCACTTAAAGTTTAGGATATACTGTACCAAAATACAATAGAAGCTTGTTATAAAAAACTGCTGGGGACTAATGCAAAAACAAAATTATTATACAATAATATACAGTACTGTACAGTAATGTGTTATTTAATAACAAGATTTTCTAAACTCATTGCTGGAAAAAAATTTCACATAATCAACATGCCTAAAATCAATTAAATGTTGCTTTTTGGCATTCTCCAAATGTGATATTCTGGAAAAAATATACTGTAGGTTCTATCATGCATTCCATCAGTTGCACAAATCTCTTCATTTTGACAGGATGGTATGTGGAACCACTTGGGAGCATGTTGTTCATTCATTATATCTTTCATACATGCCTTATAAATCTATCTGGGATTTGAAAATTTCAGACTGTGACTGCCTTAGTCTGGAAATTTCTGCCTGGAGAATCTATTGAGCATTCTGCAAAAAATTTCTTACTGAAATTGGGTAGTTTATTGTTACAACAAGAATTTTTTGATGGGTATTCAATAGGCTTTCTGTCAGGACTTGAGAAAAAATTTGTTGCATTGTACAGTACTGAAAAATGTGTTGTAACAGTATTTTTGTAACCAGATTTTACTATGTCTGCATATGCATGTCTTAAAATTGGTTACGAGACAACTCACATAGCGACAACTCACACAGTGACAACTCACATAGCAACAACTCAAACACGTCCTTTTATTTTACTAATTTTTCTTTTTTTAAATTCAGGTTCTGGCAAAAATGTATACCTTTCTTGTGTCTAGATTTTCTTTATCCTAAATTGATTGTATACATTTATAATACAATTTTTATAAATTTTTTTATACTTGTGTTTTCAACGTAGTCAAGGATAATTCTGATGCATGCATTAATCCATGTTCTTCCTAGGAATTGAGCCCCGGTCATGTTTATGGCTGACAGCCACCTTGCTGCTAAGTACCTGAGTTGGCTGAGAAGTATGAAAATGTTCAACCCGAGGAAGTGTTGACGGAAAGTACCGGTTAATTGAGTCAGAAATATGTATGATGTGAGGTTTTCAATGTCGAGCAGACGCATTATTTTATTTACCGTGCTTTTTACAATGTTTTTTTTTTATAAATAAAATTGTGAATACAGAAAGGTTCTCGAAACTAGCTCTTTTGCTCTTGGTTTTTTATTTTAATCCAGCTATGACGACTTTGGAACATTCAGCAAGCACATAGTTCCCATGAATTGCTAAAAATGTGCAATTAATTTTCGTACCAGCTGTGTAAATTCGTTGTATCAATCCGAGTTTATAGGGAAAATATATCACTTAAAGTTTAGGATATACTGTACCAAAATACAATAGAATCTTGTTATAAAAAACTGCTGGGGACTAATGCAAAAACAAAATTATTATACAATAATATACAGTACTGTACAGTAATGTGTTATTTAATAACAAGATTTTCAAAACTCATTGCTGGAAAAAAATTTCACATAATCAACATGCCTAAAATCAATTAAATGTTGCTTTTTGGCATTCTCGAAATGTGATATTCTGGAAAAAATATACTGTAGTTTCTATCATGCATTCCATCAGTTGCACAAATCTCTTCATTTTGGCAGGATGGTGTGTGGAACCACTTGCTGGGAGCATGTTGTTCATTCATTGTATCTTTCATCCATGCCTTAAAAATCTATCTGGGATTTGAAAATTTCAGACTGTGACTGGCTTAGTCTGGAAATTTCTGCCTGGAGAATCTATTGAGCGTTCTGCAAATTTTTTGTTACTGGAATTGGGTAGTTTATTGTTACAACAAGAATGTTTTGATGGGTATTCAATAGGCTTTCTGTCAGGAATTGAGAAAAATTTTGTTGCATTGAACTGAAAAATGTGTTGTAGCAGTATTTTTGTAACCAGATTTTACTATGTCTGCCTATATGCATGTCTTAAAATCATGGTGAAACACATGCAGAGAAACATTAAAATCATGGATAATATTGTCGATGGTTTTATGAGAATTTCTGGATGTAAATGCAGTATTAACAAAGGGACTCTTTCCAAAATCATAGAGGACCAAGAAAAACTGTTAACTTTATACAATTTCTCATCAAATATTCTCTCCAAATTGTTTATTCAACTAAAACTTGGAGAAGGCAAACACCTTGTGCTTTAATGGGTGTTCAATAATTACCTGATGCTACTATTTTATCACTGATATTATCTTTTTGTTTTTGGGGAGGAGAAGAAAGTGTATGCATTTACATCAGTTGTGCAAATGTACATTTTGGGATGTGTGTTCTTTTCCTTCAATATCCATGTAAAGCGTATTTCTTTACTTTTCCATTCTGATGTGATGGAATTTCTTTGGATGAATGTGAGTATAGGGAGGGTAATGGTTGTATGTGGGAACATTCCTTGAACCTTCTGAATGCTGTAAAGCAGAAAATAAAGCCTGCTGATCAATCAATCAACAAAGGGAGGAAATCAGTCCTCATTGCTGTACTTCATGAAACCAATTACAGTACTGTATAGGACAACTAACTACTGTATTCTGAGCCTAAGCATTGGTATATCTTGAGGTTCCTGAGCTAAGCAAGAAATTCAAAGCACCTTTGTTCCTGTAGTATATGTTGTGTATATTATACAACAATTCAAGTTTCCTTGATATTACTTTAAGGTTTGAGTATATCCTTTATAGGGGAAAGCAGTGAATCTCACAGTATTCCAGCAGAGTAGTATTTTATTGTCATTTGCCAATAAACACTCAAGTCAAGACCTGGGAGAATTCCTACTGAGGATCTCTACACACTGGTCAGTGCACTAATGCCTGATTTTGGGAAGATGCTACTGGAGTTTATATACTCCAGAAAATTGGCACACAATATCAGAGTACCCAGAAGGGTACTTCTTAATTGAGGGGCAGATCTTGGAGGGGAAGATGGAGTGCAATGCTGCATCCTTCGACAAAGGTCAATATATAAAATATATTATTCAATATATTTTAACCTCAAGGATTGCACTGTCAGGAAGAGTAATTAATCTCTTCCCTTTTTCTTGTCTTCTTTGTTTTGCACCAGAGTCGTACATTATTTTATTTGACTTGATCCAGAGTCATTCTTTTTGTACAACTCTTTGCTGCTCATAATTATTGTCATGTAATTTCCCAATGAAAACATGTAATTAAACTAAGTAATTCAAGTAATTCTGTCATAAATTAAAACTTTTTTTCGAGTACCAGAGTAACACCATCAATGCAAGACAACCTTGTCAGTGTGATGGACACAATGTAAAAATTCATATGCATCAAATTTTTAAATCTCACGGAATCAGTTTTTTCTTGATAAAATTTTTCATGGATGTTTCTGTGGGAATTTGCATAGTGAGAATATTTTTACTGCTGCATTTGCGGGTTGATCAATTAGTTTTTTTGGACTGGTGAATGGTTCAAGATATGTAGTCTGGTGTGACACTGCGCAATTTTTGTGAAGTTTTTTTCCGATTTCATGGTTTCTTCCATTCCCGTATTTTGAATGACTTCGCAGAAGAGGAGGATTTCCTCACAAGGAATCTGTCGGAGCTTGACTTTTTTTTTTCAACAATTCGTGAGTCTCCTTGTAGAAAAAATACCAACATTTAAATTGGCACCAGTTGACAGTGGAGTGTGGACCAATCAGGAACTATACTGTTGAGTGATGGTCGATATTCAGCATGTTTCCGCAGTTCAGTGAATTGATGAAGTTGAAAGGGTTCCGAGTGTACGTGATTTCCATTGCAAGTGTTCTGGTCACTTTGTGGCACTGGGTTCAGAATCACACTGGAGGACTGAGCTGGACTTTTTCCGGTTCTTTCACAAACGCACATGAGCTCCTTTTGCTTCACCCTGTACTCATGGTCACTGGTCTGCTCATGGTACTCAGCACCAGTATGTCAATTTTGATCATGTATATTTCCTTTATTTTATTTTTAATTCTGCAGTGTACAGTACTTTAATGCCTTAGTCATGCAAAGAACAAGCCATGCAATGAATATGTTGATTCATCAATTTGATGCCCTAAATTCGAAGGCCACCCTTCTATTGGGGAGCGAACTCCATCTGATCTAATCTTAATTCAAGTAATTAAATGGGTACGATATTGTATATGTAAGTGTATACATTCTGGATCAATTAGATCAGATCATACAGTTGTGGGTCTCCACCTCAGAGATTTAAATAAAATAAGGAAGCATTAACCAGCGATGGGTTTAGCAGAACCCCAATGAGGTTTTCAAATAACTCTACTTATGCAGTTGAACCTTTATTGATACCTCAAACCTACACAAGTAAAATACCTCTCTATGTGTTGAATATTTCCAAGTCTTTTTCCACTTATATTCAAGACAAAATGTATTGGAAACCTCCCTATCTCAAAGGGTTCTTCCCTCAAACTTCTAAATCTTTAATTTTCTGGAGTCATTTTGGCCCTTTTTTTTTGAGCCGTCAGACAGAGAAAATTAATGAAAATTTAACTTGATGCATTTTATAAGAAAGTGGAAGAAAAATTTTGCAAATGAACCCTTGCTTCTAAGTTGAGCATCCTGTCAACTTTAACGATACATTTTTGGGCCAAAAATATCAATAATTTCAACTTGCTTTGATTTTTGTTTGTGAAAAAATGTTGTATCTCTTATTTGTACCCTCATCCCTAAGTTGCATTTTTGCTGATACCTTATAATTTGAAATAAGGGGGTTCAAGTCTAATATGATGTTACCTTTGGTAAAGAAACCATGCTTATAATGCCAAGAAATGGTCATGGAAACAAGCTGGGACTATTTTGAGAGTTATTGTTCCATATCCAAAAAGCAGATAACCAAAACCCTGATCTATCCACAAGAAACTGCGTCTCTGTAAAAGGAAAAATCAATTGTCCAACTTACACTGTTTACCAGCCTAAAACTATGTGAACTATGCTGCAATGGTTCTGCAAATAGGGACATTCAAATGTCAGTTATACTTTGTGGCTCTACTGTGCTGTGTTGTTTTCTCGTGTTTCTGAATTACCGGTATGTCATGTGCATGATGTTTTTATTTATTTTTTACATATGACTGGTACGTTATTCAAGTTGTAGATTGATTCCCGTGACGAAGAGAGAATCACATAAGAAAGATTTGTTTTCTCGCCTTCTTGTCATTGAAATTTCTGGGTTTTAATGTTGCATTAAAAAGCTCAATAAAACAGCCACTGGAATCAGAAAAACAGCTTCGTTGTAATAAAACATTCGTCAAAAGGGATCTCTTTTAAAATATTGTGGCTATACTGTATTTGGCAGCACGGACTTATATAAAACGACTTATTTGTTGCAATTGATTATTCTTTTCAACCAGATTCTTTGTTACGAGATTCTATATAATGCATCAACTCGAAATAGATCAACGTTCTCTGGTCAAAACTCGTTTTATGCCTAGTATTTTTGAAATTATATTTCAAGGAATGCTTGCAAGAAAAGCGTCAACGCTGCACAAGTCAAGGAAAATCACGTGCACTTTTTCTGGATTGGCATGCAATTTCATCTCATTTTTGTGCGTACTCGTGGGATTTATTGGGATCGCTGTTTGGCATGCGTCCGAAGGTATGCAATGGTTCTTCACATTGCATAGTTGGTTTGGACTGCTGACCATTGGAAGTCTCGCATTTCAAGTAGGTGAAACTTTCATTCCAAATAGATACTGTATATGTAAGACTCAATCATATAATCCTAGTGCACTTTACAGTGGCTTTTCTCCATTTGCAAGGGACGATTTCCAGAATCCTGGTGAGCAAAAGAGTCAAATTTTGTCACGAGAAATTGATCATGTTGTCCATGTGGGAAATAATTTTCAGGGAAAGTTTCCTGGATTACTTGATATTTTCCTTGGGAGCTGTTTCGGCGATTACTGGTACAATGGAAGCTGCCTTGTATGATCTGTAAGTAGTTGGACCAAAATGTACAGAATGTAGGGTGGGCCAAAAAAAAGTTAACCAATTTTTGACTTGAAGTAGCTTGGCAGCAAATTGCGCTGTGGCAACCAAAAAAGCACCAAATGAAAGCTTGTTCAATTCTCTTTCAAATTGTATATAGTTTCATAGTCCCAAGTGCCACAGAAAGGTCAAAAGAACCATTTGAATAAAAACTTTCAAAATTAAAAATTGTCAGATGACTTTTTCCTCTAAGCTGCTGCTTTGGAGAGCTGTTTGCATGAATGAAGGGAATGCAGGGTGCAATAATCTAGCCATAAAACTTGGTGCTGTTTTGGGGACTTTGCACATGTTCTCAAATTTCAGAAAGAGGGGGTGAAAAGGGAGAATTAAATAAAAGTTGCCAAACAATTTTTATTTTTGAAAGTTTTCATTCAAATGATTCTTTTGACCATTCTGTGGCACTTGGGACCATAAAACTCTACACCATCTGAAAAAGAATTGAACAAGCTTTCCATTGGTGCTTTTTTCTTTGCCACAGCTAAATTTGCTACTGAGCTATTTCGATTCAAAAATCGGTTCACTTTTCTTGGCCTACCCTGTATAATTGAAAAAAATCATTGATCCTTATGAATGCATTGGCATGATTTCACTTGTGATTTTCTTTTTCCATTTACAGCCCAAGAGATCAGTTGTCGACAAAATATTCCAAGTTCTGTCCACATGGAATGGCTCTGAATGCCTTCGGTATTTCCTTCGCAGGATATGCTGCAGTAACCCTGTATGTTTTGCTGGTTCAGTGATTGCATAACATAGATGTCGCCCGTAGTTACGTTATACTCAACTGGGGTTTCTGTGAAGAACGCCGCTGTTTTTTTTTTCTCCGAGAAAAAGAGCACATTGTACACAATTTGTGCAAATAAAAATTACAACGCTTTTTTGAAGCGAATCTATTATTACAGCCAGGAAGATTGGATTGTCCACGAAATGGTGATGTTCACAAGGAAAAAAAGTATATGCAGTATAGTAACAGCATCTGGTTCAATTTTGCTTGAAGAAAAGTAGAAACGCAGCACAACTAATGAGCATCAGATTTCCCAGTGCTGACAATCGAGTTCCGGCGTTGTACTTGTTTGATTTTATGGCTTTCAGGCCATCGAAAAGTCCTGTTTCAAAGAGCAGCATTTATTTCAAATTATTTGTATGAAATGGAATCAGTTCCGTTGTGGGGTAAATTCATTCACTCACCAGTTTCTTTGGAATCCTTGAAGCCTTGTCTGTCTTCCAATGTCTGTGGATTTTCGTCTTGCTCATCTGTCAAAAAAAAGTGCATGTTCACCATTTCTCAGTTCAAGTGAGTATCATGAATTTAAGAAAAAAATTATCTTATAATAGGATTGATTTGCATCAAGATTTATTACGGTGATGCCTAACTTCTGTTCATAAAAGTGACACACTGTATTCTTCAAATCTAAATGTTTTTTTGCTCAAAAAGTTCATCATGTTTGGGCCGTTTGCTTGAGTTCTTGTAATGTATTTTAAATTTCTTGAATTCAAAAATTTTGTATTCCATTTCAGCAAACTTTTATTGAGGATATGTCTGTTTTTCCTTTCTATTTTCATTGGTTGCTGGTGGGTTATTCAAGCTCATTATTGACAACTATATAGAAAGTGACTAGTTCACAACTACAGAAGTTAGTAAGACTCAGGAAAAAAAAACATTGCCATCTCTGCCTCTTTGTAAAAGCCAAATTTAGTTCTCCAAGGCATTGAGTGTGATGCCCAACACTACATGGTAAAATACAGTTGATCCCTGCACAACAGACCTCCCAGACAATGGATTTTTGCACAACAGACCACCTCTGGAGACAGTTTTCCCTCCTTTGCAGTGGACTAAATCTGCATAACAGACCTTGTTGGTTGTTTTAAAATTAATGGTATACAAAGTAAAAATTTTAATTTTTTATCATTGAATTTGCATAACAGATTTTTTACACAAGAATTATGCAAATTAAGTCGGTTGTGCAGGGGTTGGCTGTGGAACGATAGGGACTTAGGGAAACTGTGACCGTGATAACCCCATACACCATTTGTGGTATCGGGATTGTACAATTGGTGATGACAATGACCCATCAATCAACAGGTTACGGAACTAATAAACAACCCTCTATACGGTATGTATGCATGGCAGAAATACCCTCCAGTACATCCAAAGATAATTATGCAGTACCACATTGAATCAATTACAGTACTGAACACCGAAATTTGCATAAGATCCGCACCCCAGTGTTCAGTGACAATTTATTTGCCATTTAACGTCCGCAGTGTAACTGAGGATCCTACAGGGTCTGGGGGGGTTTAATAAGGACGTCGTGTAACGTGTGCCTGTGGCCTTTTTGCACCGCCTGGCTGCTGCCAGGCCTCCTTGAGAGCAAGAAGTGCTCGTTCAAATGCTTCAAATGCAAGAAGTGACAAGAAAGTTGTACCTGGCCGCCAGTGCCTTTGATCAGTTTGTTACTCATATACTAGTTTTAGTGTAAATAAAAGAAAAGATTTACACTCAGTGCACTGCGGACGCTCTACTACTAGTGGAGGTTGTGTAACCTGTGTCTGTGGCCTAGGTGTTGAAAAAAAAGTTATATGACCCCACATCATCTAGGTCCAACATCAAGTGCACGGCAGCCTATCCAGTTGAGGCATAGTTCATGGTGCAACAGTTCCTGGTTTGAGTCCAGCAGCAGACAGGAATTTTCTCAGCATACAAGTATAGTGATTATAGAATTATAGCACTGCCTTTTTCTCAGCAACACACAAAAAAACTTTCAATTTTTAAATAATCTCAATCATTTGAATGTTGCCAGTGAATGTTGACACAGTGTTTTTGATTTTATAAAGTTCTGTAGGATAATATTCTGTGGCAATATCCCAGGACCAATCACAGAACTTAGGAATTTTAAAATACCGCAGCGTGGATCTGGACTCCCGGATCCATGCTGCAAAGCTGTGATTGGCTGCAGTTATGATACCGCGGCCAATCACAGTGAAAATACGCTGTGCAGTATTTTATAATACTGCAGTGAGGATCCAGACTCCCGGATCTGCTCTGCAAAGCTGTGAGTGGCCACGGTAATGATACCATGGCCAATCACAGTAAAAATAGGCTGTGCCGTATTTTATAATACCACAGCACGGATCCGCTCTGCGAAGCTGTGATTGGCCGCGGTAATGATACCGTGGCCAATCACAGTGAAAATATGCTGTGCGGTACACAACCCTGCGGTATTATACCAGGGTTGTGTACTGCTGCTAAAATACCGCGGGGTTGTGTACCACTGGTATTATACCAGCGGTACACAACTCCGCAGTGTTTTAAAGGGGTTATGTACCACTGTATAATACCAGCGGTACACCACCCCAAAAAATACCTGAAGGGGTTGTGTACCACTGGTATTATACCAGCAGTACAGTACTAAACTACTCGGTATGTGAAATACTGTGGTTCTGAAAAGATTTGAAAAGATTTCACTGCGGACACTCTACTACTAGTTAATTAGGGAAGCTAAATTAACTAACAATTTATATTCACATACAGTAAAAGAAGGAATAAATTTGCGATACTGTATTTTCATTCATGGATTTCTGTGCACGCAAGAACTTTGGAAAATTTTGTAACGTGCAAAGTGTACTCCAGTGAATGTGACAGACCCATTTTATGCTTAGCAACATTCATTCATCAATAGTGTTGATCGATGAGAGTTTTATTTCTTGAATGGCTTATTGACTAGAATAACTTGCCAATTTCTGCAGCAACTGGCTCATTCTTGAATTCCATCTTGACTCCATTCCTTGCTTCGTCCGCCATTCTCAGGTTGGGTTTTGAAGCAGTATTGCTGTTACAACCAAACCAGTGCTGAGACGTTGAAGCTGGATACCGCATTCCATTCGCTTCTGTCACAATCTGTTGACAGGAAGGGAAAATATGCAATTTCTAGGACTAGAGAGATACCTTCAAAAGCGTATATATTTTGACAGACGTTTGAAGTTATTTCATCAAGTTGCAGGCTGCAAACTTAGTCCCAACGATTCCGGCATTATTATAGCAGTGATGGGAACTGAAAACGGGTATTTCATGATATTCCTTCCACCAATTCACCAAGTTTGTTTTACAGTAAAATCTCGTTACAACAAACTTTTGGGGACCGCAGAAAAAGTTTGTTATAACGGATAATTTGTTGTAACGAGATTATCAAAAAAATTACTGGAAAAATGGCTGGATAAATGTTAAAGTTAGGAAATAAATGGAAAACCTGCTCAAAGTTTTATTATAGAAATCTACTAAAATTATTTTATTCTTTTTAAAAAATATTCTTAAAATTAATTTTTTCACAAAAGATTGCATTCTCATCAGTTTCTAAGCTATCCTGAAAGTTTCAGCTTGCTAGCTAGTCTGGAAGTGAGTGAAATTTGAGTTTCAAAATTTGATCCAGACAAACAGACAGACAGACAAGAAAGTGAGTTCATAAAAACGTGGTAAAAATGTACAGTAAGAATGCACTGAGAAAACCCTAGTGAAGTTTACTCCTCCTTCCAAACTTAAATTGGCATCAAATAAACGAGTCTTCACACAACCTTTATTGTGAAGAACCACTCCTCTCTTTATATTCCTTCTTTATCTTTGCATATTTTTGTATCTTGTATTTGGATTTGGACAAATTCCTCTGCAGAGTTTCAAATGTTCCTTAGGAATCATGTCATTTATTTGCCACTAAATTTCTTAATGAATCATTTTTTTTAACTGGGAACACATATTCAAGGTGTTACCTACAGTATGCAAGGTTCTTGTTCAGAAACTGGCTGATTCTTTGTGCTTAATCTGTTCTGCTGCACCTTTATCATCCTTTCTTTTGTAGGGTTCCATAAATGGCAAACAGGCATGATTATTTCAGCCAATTTTTTGGATGCTCTGTGGCATTATGCATTTGAAATGTTAATTCAAATTTTTGGCACCATTCATTCAACGTTTTAAACTTTGCAAGTTACAAATGATTGTAGGGAAAGCCTGTTTTCAAAATTTAGAAAATAAAAAGCATGGACAAATGTGTGCAGCTGTTTTTGCAATTCTTTGTCAAACCTCTCAAAGTCAAATTTCAAGGGGCCAGCAAAACAATTTGACTTAGGAGGTTCTGATTATAGAGATTAGAGCAACAACAAAAAACCCTTTCTTCTTGTTGCGGAGATTCAAAAGTCAGGTTAAAGTTAGGAAATAAAATGTACACAGATTTGGTTGGGCTGCAACCGGGGTGCTCAAGGACACCCTATTCTAAGATGGTATATTTCTGTAGATTTTGCAAAGTGTTGATAAGTTTGAAAAACTTGCCAAGTTCCCAAGATCCACTTGGTTGAAAGGTTTGGAAGACACTAAAATATTTGCATGTACAGTACTTTGGAAACAGAAAAAGGGTATGGTTTGAGGAAATTTCCACTGAGATTTTCGGCTTTGATTACAGTTTCTGCTTTTTTAAGCTGTGGTACTTTTTCTTCTTCTGGAGTTTTCTGTGTTTGTTAAATTCAAGGACCAAGGGTCCATTTAAGTTTGTTGTGAGAATGGGGATGAAACTTGATTCTCACAGAAACAACCAAGGATGAGTTTTGGCAATTGCCAAAACTTGTCCCTTTTATGGATCTGTTCTTTTAAGTTGCTCTTTTGGCATTTTCCTTTGAGGATGTATTTCCTCAAGAAGCTGACATGAAAAATGGCTTGCCATTAGTTGGAAGCAAGAGATTAAATTTGCTATGCTTGGCT